CGGGGGCACGGGCATCGGAAAAGCCATCGCGACCGAGCTCTTGCTGTTGGGTGCGTGAGCACGGCCCCGGGCCAGGGGACCCAGAGCGGGGGGTCCACAGAAAGCCCGGCTGGCATAAGCTGGGGTCGGAGCCAGGGGGCACTAGGCCGGGTTGGGCAAGTGTGGAGTTGCAAAGCAAAGGGGCATAGATGTGGGCGGGATCAGAGCCGCGCGGTGCCCCCGGTGAGGAACAACTGCGCAGACATGCGAGGGAATTGACCGTGGAAAGGGAGTGATTTTCTGCAGATGCCTAATGAGCGATTAGGAAACGGGAGGCTTCGGTTAGCTGGGAAAGGCGGTCACGTGCTGAGAGGCCCCCCGTCCTGTGATCGTGCATAAATGACCTTTACTGTAGGGAGTGAAGGGAGGACTTTGTAGTGCAGGTCTGCTTTAAGGAGGTCTTCTAGCTAGTATTTATGTGAGCAAGTCTTTATTTTGGCATTGTTTTTGAAAGCTGTTTTCACTGGGTCAATTATTTCCAGGTGCATAATCCTCCCTTACCCCCCACTCCTGGCCCAGAAGTACTTTTGTATTTGAGCACCTTACGAGTTTAATGCCCCTGGTATTTTTTGCACCTAGAATTAAATAATTTAATTCTTAATTAGGATATAGGTATAGGCTTTAACAAAATGTTTTGTTTTGGTTGTCACGTAGCTTATAGTCAAAGATTAAGAAAGTATGTTTGTCATGTTCTGAAGGACTGCCTGTAAAGCAGATTCTGGGAGAAATGTTTAAAAGACACTTTGCTTCCTGGTTGGCGTAGCTCAGGAGTTGAGCAATGACCTAGGGCCCAGGAGATCCTACTTTGATTCCTGGTCAGGGCACACGCCCAAGTTTTGGTCTCAATTCCCAGTATGAGACGTGCAGGAGGCAGCCAATCAGTGATTCTCATCACTGATGTTTCTGTCTCTCTCTCTCCCCCTCCTTTCCTCTCTCTGAAATCAATAAAGACATATTTAAAAAATAAAGGAAAATAAAAGACACTTTGCTTGAGATAATAGAAAAATATAGCTAGTTAAGGACAAAACAATGATGGCATAAATAATGGCTATAGTCACAAGGTATCTAGTTTCTACTTTTTGCTTTAAAGATAAGGTCTCTGGTGCACAATTATGAGATATTTTACAGAATCTTGGTTTTTCAATCCAGCCCCTCTTGTTCTCACAATATAACTTTGTGTTGCTAATGTACCGTTTCTTTGTCAAGCAGGAGAAGATAATTCCAGGGCCATAAGGAGTCTAATGTGAAAAAGTGTTATCTGTGTTTAAAAAAACTTGGATTTCTCTCTCAGTTCCTTGAAACTCCCCTTCCCTTCCTAGCCGTGTAAAAACTCCCTACTTTTGCTTGTAGAGAGATCTTACTCTTCTGTCCTCTCACTTTGGCCAAATCAAATAAACCTTTCTGTATCTCCAAGCACCGCTGTCTCAGTGCTTTGGCCTGCTAGCGCGTAGGGGACACGAACCTGAATTTCACTCTCTTCTGGCTTGCATTCTTTCTGAAAAGAAGTCTTCTGTCTTTTTTGTCTCTTGTTTTGTACTTATGTGTTCTTGTTTCTCTGGCTTTTAAAATTTTTTTCTTTATCAGTGACTTATTTAATTATATCATCGCTGTCCTTTCTGGGTATATTTTTATTCATTGACTTTTCTCCTCCTGATGGCTTGTGTTTTCCTGTTCCTTTGCATGCCTGGCAGTTTTCTGTTGCATGCCAGATACTTGTTCTTTTTATATTCTTATAAATATTCTTGAGCTTTGTTCTGTGGTGCAGTTTAAGTTACTTGAAGACAGTTTGATACTTTAAAAGAGGCTTGCTTAATGTTAAACTTTCGCCCGACTAACCTTCGGTCTAGGGCTAATTTTGCTTCATGACTGAGGTCATATCCTTCTGAGTTCTTTACCCCAATGCCCTGTGAAAGGCTTTTTCTGGTGGGAACACTATTTCCAGTGCTGTATGAGTGCCAGGGTATGTTCCTTCTGCTCATTTGGGGTAATTTGTTGCCCATTCTCAGAGAGTTTCCTTACTCACAGGTCCTGATCAGTGTGCAGCTGAAGATTTGAGGGAACTCTCTACAGATCTCTGAAGTTCCTTCCCAGCTCTTTTCTGTCTCTGCCCCGTGTAATCTATTCATCTGGGCGTCCCCAAACTTCTAGCTTCATCTCTTCCACCCACGAGTTTGCTGGGCTCTGAATGGGCTCCTCCTCATTTCTGCAGCCAAGCTCTCGCTGGCCAGCAAGCTAGAATAATCATAGAGCTCACATTGCTTGTTTCTACTCTCTGAGATCACTAGCCAGTGCTACCTCATGTCCAGTGCCTGAAAACCATTGTTTTATATAGTTTGTCCAGATTTTTAGTGGTTTGGGGCTGGAGAGTAAACTCAGCTTCTGTTACTCCACCTTGACCAGAAGCAGAAGTCCTAATGCATAATTTTTACAGGAACACATGAAATATTTGCTAAACATTATTTGTGGGATTTGGACAACTTGTTCTTTGGCTGTTTTTCCTCAGGCTGTAATGTGGTCATTGCATCCCGTAAGTTTGATATGCTAGAATCTACTGCAGATGAACTGAAGAACACCCTACCTCTCACCCACCAGTCTCAAGTCACTCCCATAAAATGCAACATCCGTAAAGAAGAGGAGGTAATGGAAATATATCCATATCATTTATTCATTTTTAATATAGTAGTGGTTCCTCAACTTGACTATGCTTCAGGTTTTCCTATGTTACCTGTCTTAGATGGGGTTCAAGAGAAGCAGAACCTGTGGAGATTCTTCTGCTAATGATTTATTGAGTAAGTTGCCTCAGGAGAAAGAGAGGAAGGGAAGCAAAATTATACATTTAGCTTTATGACCTGTGGCTATTGTGC